GTCCGCGGCCGGCCTGGCGGCTCCCGCCTGCCACCCCGGCCCCGCGCGGCCCACGCAGCCAAGTCCCGGCGAAAGCCACAAGTGGAGCTGTGGCTCAAGTGGTAGAGCGCCAGCCCCGAGCCCCACGAGCTCGGGGACGGCGCCCAGGCCCCAGCTCAAGCCACAAGAAAGCGAAATGAAGAAAAGACAGATTAGTCAGGAGGCCAACGGCTTGGGACGGGCCAGGTTCCTTGCCATGGGGGTCTGACGCACTTGCCTGCCTGCCCTCGGGTGGGGGGGGCTGGGGGGAGGCTGGCCAGGCCCAGGTGACCCCTCCACTCGAGGGGAGGCCGGGAGAGTGGAAGCGGGGGCTCCCCCCAGGGAGGGAACAAAGGCTGGGAGTTCAAAGGAACAGCCCTCCCCCCTCCTCTCCCCTCTTCTCCCCCCTTCCTCTCCCCTCCTTCCTCTCCCCTCCTCTCCCCAGCTCACTGAAAGCTGTGTGAGGTCTTTGGGCCTGGGCCCACCACACAGCCCCGGGCTCCTGCTGGGGGCAGTGGGGGTGTCCTCACCCCCCCTCGCCCCCAGAGATGCAGATGGCTGCGGGGCTTGGCATGTTTGGAGGCTCCAGGTTGTTTTTGTGGCTCTGAAATCCATTTATTCCACTTATCTCCATGAAAGGATGCTAATAAAAAAGAGGCTTGGCCCCGGGAAAGCCGCCACCGCGCTGCCCACCTGCGTTGTAACTTTTGTTAATTTGACTTTTCCTGAAGAGGGGGGCTGCGGGGGGGGGCGGGACTGAGCCCCTCGCTCCCCTCAGACTGGGGTGGGAGGGCTGGGAGGAGTTGCACCTTCTGTCCCCTTTCTGGCTGCCAATTCGAGAGTCTCCTCCTCTCCATCCCTTTTTGAAAGTTGAGACTCCACATGCTTCCAGAAACTGGACTTCATCTGGCTTTCTGCATGGAGACGTGGGGTGTCCGGCACCCCTCTGCTCACGCAGCAGGGAGCGTCTCCCGGTGCCTGGGCAGCGCCTCCCTCCCGGAGTAGCCGCTTCGGCAGCTGGCTGCTGTCGGGCGCTGTCATCAGACACTGGGGTGCCGCCGCCTACCTGCAGGCCACTCACCCACTGTGCAGTTCAGTGACCTGGGCGCACTCAGGCGGAAATGGGCCTCGGGTTTATGGGCAGGCAGCCTGCCTCCTGGCGCATGCCTGGGTTTGGGGAGGGCTGGGTAGGGGGCTCACCTGTTGCGGTAGGTCCTGGGAGGAATCTGCTAACGCCTGCGCTAGCATCCCACCATCCCACTGCTCACTGGCATTTCTGGCCACCTGCTGGGGGGCACAGGCATGGGCCCCGGGGAGGGGCTGCGGGGGAGAGAGGAGCAGGAGATGGGGTGATCCTCGCATGAGAAAGGCTGGGAATGCTTGCTTTAATCTGGGGCCCAGGTTGGGGGGCCAGGGGTGAAAATAAAATAATCTGGGTTACTCTAGAGATCTGAGGATCTTGGTTCAAAGCCAGCAGAAAAGTCTTAACTGTAATTAACCAAATAAAAAGCAAGCAGCAGAGCTGTGGCTCAAGTGGTAGTACCTTGAGCTACCGCTGAGCAAGAGGAAAGAGCCCTGAGTTCAAGTCCCAGTACTGACACCAGAAAAGCAAAAAAGGATAGAGGCTTTTATGTGTGTGCCAGGCCTGGGGTCTGAACTCGGGGCGTACGTACGGGCTGCCATTTAGCTTTTCCTTGCTCAAGGATGATACTCTACCACTTGAGCTGTAACTCCACTTCCAGCTTTTTGGTAATTAATTGGAGCTATGAGTCCTTTGCTGCCTGGGCTGACTTCAAAGCACGATCCTCCGACCTCAGCCTCCTGCCTAGCTAGGCTGACAGCCCGAGCCCCAGTGTGGGAAGGGCTTTTAGTGGCAGCAGCTGTAATCTCCTGGGAGGCACTTAGTGGGATGTGAAGTTTCTGAGTGTGGAATGTGCTGTGCACTCTGTCATGGAGAGCGTGCGCCTGGTCCAGTACACGTACCTACAGCAGAGATACGTGGTCGTGGGCGGCGCGAGCTCAGCCAGGCCCGTCTGCCCCACCCCCCACCCCCCAGGTCCACTTCTTGGAGGAGGACTGTGCCTTTAAGGAGGAGATCAGCTACTCCGGCTACAACGTGTATTGGTCCCCAACGCACCAGCGCCCTGTGACCCTGAGCAGCGCCAAGCAGAGACCCCAGGTGTGGCCTTCCTACTTCCTGCCGCTGCTGCCCCAGGCCGAGGACAAGGACCCCCTGGAGCCCGAGCCCGCGCTGCCCCTGGAGCCGGACAGCATGGATCCCTTTGGGATGGCGAGTGAACTCGGCCTGATCAAGAGTCCCAGCTTCCAGAAGTGACCGGGACTCGGGGCTTCTCACCAGAGCCGCCCCAGCCGCGGACCGTCCTCCATGTACATAGTCGAGGCTGGTGTGGGCCCGGAGGCCCCTCAGACGGCCCTCCGCCCACCCCCCACCCCCTCGGACCCTCTCTGGCCTTGTGCCTCTGTCGGGTTGGAGGTGGGGCTGGGCGCTGCGCCGCTTGGACATCTCTGCAGGATGGGGTCTCGCTGCCTTTGGAAATGGCCCAGTGGGATGCTTTGCCATCATTTCCAAAGGGGACGGCGGCCTCACCCCTGGGGAAGCCAGACAGGGACAGACAGCCACCTGTGACCCTGCTCCAGCCCTGGGGAAGCCTGCCGTTTCCTGAGACAACTTCAGGGTAGACTCCAGTGCTTGGTTTTCCTGCCTCTTCCCCAGATGCCCGGCTCAAGGCTGGTGGTGTTGCAGGAGCAGCCAGGCCACCCCTCTGCCGGGCCTCTGTGGGGAGGGGTCAGGGAGGGGGCATGGCAGCCTGGGTCTGGCCAAGGACCGGAGGGCCGTGCTTCCCAGTGTGCTATTTATGAATAATTTATTTTGACGTGTACATCTCTTATTTTCTTACTTTATTTATAGCCCCCAAATTATATTTATGGCTGGGCATCCGTGGGCCATTCCTGAGATCCTAGCTACTCAGGAGGCTGAGATCTGAGGATCGAGGTTTAAAGCCAGACAGGCAGGAAAGTCCGTGAGATTCTGATCTCCAATAAACCACCAAAAAGCCGGAAGTGGCTCTGTGGCTCAAGTGGTAGCATGGCAGCTGTGAGTGGAAAAGCTGAAGGGCGGCGCCCAGGCTCTGAGTTCAAACCCCGTCTGGTTCATACACACACACAAATTGTATTTATGTACATGAATTTCATTTTGTACAGTAAAAACGTGCGTTTTCTATCAGAAGGTGGATTCTGTTTTCCAAATGGGGGCAGGGACTGGCCGCTCCACACCGGGGGTCAGGGCAGCCCCCTTGTCCGCCAGGGACCCACACGGTGGCCCAGGACGGGCGCTGTTCCCACGTGGGCTGCGGAAATCTCCAGATTCTGGGGTCCAAGTGGCTCCTTTCCTAGAAACCAGTGACCTCCACTCGCAGGGCTGCTTTGGGGAAGGCCACGGCCGGAGGGGCCCCCACTCCTTCCTGTCCCCCCACGCGGGGGTGCAGGGGCTGGGGCCGGGGAACCACTGCATCCTGCAGGAAGGCCAACGGTGCTCTACCTGTGACCCCCTCCCCCAGGAGCAGGGCTGCCATTTATGAGGGGGTGTCCCCAGCACAAAGTGGAGGGCTTCCTTGGCTAGGAAGAACCCTAGATGAGGGTGGTTGGGGTCAGGGTCAGGTGGAGGGGGCAGAGGGATAAAGGGGCAGCTAGGGGGTGATTCCATCCAGTCCCAGGGTACCCCACATCTGCACAGAGGGTAAAGCACGTGTTGAGGGAGGGCTTCTCTGTTATCGGTACAGTTCAACTAGAGGTGATTCAAAGAGAAGAAAGTTCTCCCACTGCCTAAAAACCATACAGCCCCTGGAGCTGGCCCTGAGGCCCGTGGCCAAGAGGAAGGAGGGCAGGCTGGCGGGCGATGCGGGTAGATCCCAGGTCGCCTCTCTGCCCCCATCCTGCAGGATGGTGCCTGGCACCATAGGAAGTCCTTCAGGTTCTCAAACTTTTTTCTGAGCCCTTGTAGAACTTGGTGACTTAATTCATACTCAAGTGATGCTGGATGTCACACTTGGACCTGGTCTGGCTGCCCACCCACTGGACTCTGGGCATTCTGGTGGGGGCTGGGAAGGGGCGTTAAGGTTTGCTTCTGACCCCCTCCTCCTCCCTCCTGGCCCCTCCCCAGCCTGCCGCTTCTCCTTTGAAGCTGGCTTTGCCCTGTTGCTGGGTGACAGGCTTTTGACAAGAGTGCCAAATTGACGGGGGGGGGGGGGGGGGCTGAAGGGGGCCTCCAGCATGGCCAATTGTTGAAGCCTGTTTAAGCCGTGTTGCATACAATGCCCCATTGACTGGATGGAGTTGGAACAGCAACTCTCTCCCCCCTGTGCATGCCACTTTAATCATGCCCCCAACCTGGTTCTGAATTTGTTTTTATGCTGGTTATTTTGAAGAAAGATTCTCATTTTCTTCCCAGGCTGGACTCAAACCTCCATCCTCCAGACCTCAGCCTCCTGTGTGGCTAGGATTATAGGGTTAGCCACGCTAGCATCTGGCTTTTTTGTGTATAAATATAACCCATGCGCTGAGATACACTTTCTTTCTTTAAAGTATGTTCTATTTACCTGAGGAGTTGTTGTTGTTTTTTGTTGTTGTTGTTGTTTTTGGTCAGTTGTGGGCTTGAACTCTGGTCCTGGGCGCTGTCCCTCAGCTCTTCAGCTCAAGGCTAGTGCTCTACCACCTGAGCCACAGCGCCACTTCCAGCTTTTTCTGCTTTATGTGGTGCTGAGGAATGGAACCCAGGGCCTCATGCATGCGAGGAAAGCGCTCTACCACTGAGCCACCTTCCCAGCCCCTACCTGAGATTTAAATGTGGCCACATACCGTGTTTTGTGTGGCTGCCCCAGTGTTGTTGTTTTGTATTTCCTAAGCAGGTTCTCTGCCTCCAGAGCCACATTTCTAGATCTTTCTGCACTAGTTCTTTCAGGGAGAGTGTCATTTTTCTCCCCCCAGGCTGGTCTGAACCATACCCCTACTTAGGCCTCCTCCTGAGACTGGGTGAGGACCCCTACTACCACATCTAGCCTCCAGAACTTTCTACGGGGGGGGGGGGGGGGGGGGGGGGGGGGGGGGGGGGCAAACGAGAAGGAGAAGGATTGGGATGGGGGTGAGGGGGGAGGCTGGGCCTGGCCTAGAAGCATGATCCTCTCAATCCCCAGCCTCCAGCGTCACCGGGATTACAAGTGTGAGCCACAGGGTTTACTTTGTCTCCCTTTTGATCCATAGTGCCCACAAAGTGTTAGAGAAAGGGCCCCAGAGGCAAACACGGTGCAGGGTGTGGGCAGGGCGGCCACAGGCACCCTTGGGGCTATGGGGAGCTGTGGAGGGGCTGTGGCCCGCGCTCTGGTCCTCCAGGACCTGGCTCCAAGGGCTCACAAGAGGGGTGGCCCCAGGTACTGGGGACTGACTCCTTTCTTTGGGTGAGGAACTGGGTGCTTCACTCACGGGAAAGCCCGGCGGCTCCCGCTTGGGGCAGGCCTGGTCTGGGCCCCCCCTTTCCCCGCTGACCATTGCCAGCCTCAGGCCCCTCCTGCCCAGGGCTGCGTGTGGCCCGAAGAAACCCGGGAGGATGAGGAATGACCCGGAAGGAGGGGGAGGGAAGGGGTGCAGGGGACACCCCCCCACCCCCCAGCTGTGCGAGGATTGGAGCGCTGCCTCCATTTCCTGGCTCCTAACTCCAAAAAAAAACCCTGGAATCTGGGAGCAGGGTGGTTTTTACATGCAAATGAGGGGCAGCTGCCCCACTGTGCCCCAGAATGAGAAGGATTAGCTCATCCCCCACGGAGCCTGGGGATGAAGGCTGATTGACCACCAAGGCCAGAGACAGAGGCCAGTGAGGAAGCTTCCAGATGGCTGGCAGTGGGTGGTTGGGGAGGGTGGAGAACTCCAGGGGTCCTAGCTCTGAGCCCCCGGGATGACACCCCAAAAGTGTGGGGCGGTGCTGGGGGCTGAGCCCCCACCTGTGGACGGCAGGCGAGAATGGGAACTGCTGGCATGCTGGTGGGGAGCAGCCTGGGGAGGGCACCGGAAGGGGCCAGGGGGGGAAACTGAGATTCAGACTTCTCCCACCCCCACGGCGGCCGGCCGAGAGTTCCTGTATTTTCCTGTTTCTTCTTTCCAGACAGGGGATCCTGTAGCCTGGGCCCATGGAGGCTGGCGGGGGGGGGGGCGGGGGGGGGTGAAGGCCCACACCCACACCACTGGGCCCTGCCCCATACAGCCTCTGTTGTTTTTATTTTTTTTAACAACAATGAGTGTTGTCTGCAAGGGTTTCAATCTTCCTTTGTTTCAAGGGAATTCTTGTTATTGTTATTATTATTGTCAGTGGCGGGGCTTGAATTTAAGGCCTGGGCACTGTCCCTGAGCTTCTCTGGCTCAAGGCACATGCTCTATCACTTGAATCACAGCACCATTCCAGCTTTTTCTGAGTAGTTTATTGGAGACCAGAGTCCTATGGACTTTCCTGCCTGGGCTGGCTTCAAACCAGAATTCTCAGATCTCAGCCTCCTGAGTAGCTGGGATGACAGGCGGGAGCCTCTGGTGGCCCCTGGTGCCCGGCTCCTGGAAGTCCTGCTCTGCTCTGCTTTCTCTCTCCCAAACCTATGGCTTAAAGGACGACCAGGCAGATCCTGCTTGGATTCCGGCCAGCCAAGTGAGCAGCGCTGCACACCCCTCCCCCCACATCCCGCAGTCCAGGCTCCCATCTCCACCCCTGCAGTCCTGGCTCCCCATCTCTGTTCCCATCTGTCCCCGTGCCCGTGTCCTGGCCCTGCTCCAGGACGAAGATCTAAGAGACACGCACCGAGTGATGAATGGAGCAGTTTGGTTTCCAGCATTCAAACAGCTGGGAAAGGAGGCTTCAGACTTTGTTGTTGCCAGGGGTGGAGGCAGCCCCACACACGTGTGCAGCATGGCCCCACACACGTGTGCAGCACGGCCCCACACACGTGTGCAGCACGTGCACACCGGAGAAGCCTCATCTGCTCTTTGTTGGGGGGTGGGGTGTAGTGGGGGCATCTCAGGTTTGAACGTGAAGTGTCTTGCTTGCTAGGCAAGCACTCTAACCACTCAAGCCACGCCTCCAGTGCTTTTGCCTTAGTTACTTATGGGATACAGTTTTGGATTTTTGTCCATCTGTGATCCTCCTACCCCCAACTTCCCTTTTTGCTGGGATCACAGGTGTGAACTGCCAACACCTGGCTTGTTGGTAGAGATGGAGGACTCAACTTGTTAACTCAGGCTGGCCTCAAACATCTGTGCTCCTGGTCTCTGATTTCCTATTAA